CTCTTAAAATCACAGCAAATCAGTCTTGATGGCACGTCGAGCGTGGAACACCGCCCACTGTAGAAATTGGAGATCAGCATACGGGCGGTTCGAAAGAGCGGCGTATAATCTGATTCAACCGTGCCAGCCTTTATATACACCAGCAGTTACGGCAGGATTATTTCATCGCACGCCTGGCGGGCATGCGATACGTCGCCTATTTTCGATGCCAACAGCCAATCTACCGCTGAAGTAATCTGAATTGAATTGAAGCTAAAAAGAGCAAGCAGACCGATGTCGGGGCTGTTGGAGCTCCAGAAAAAAGAAATGCTTCTAGTTTGAGTCCAAATTCGACCAGGTTTTGGTATCTTGATATCGGGACCGGCCGACCCAGTTCACCTGCGTCCCCACACAGCCGCGACGTACGGATAGATTTGGTTCAGCGTTCGTCCTGCCGCAGGATCGCTTAACGAGCCACTCAGAAGTTGCATATACAGCTCGTTAGTCCGTTGGTCCAAGGTGAATCAGAGCACTGGAAGTATTGGTCGACATGGCTGGGGACCGCGAGAACTTAAAGGTCCAAGATTCAGCTTAAGCTGCAGCAACGCAGCCCATACAGTCTCGCACAAAACCACAGCGCACAGCATCCGCGTGTAAGGAACCCGTTCGAGAAAGCTCTGTTCGAGATAGCGACATTATAGCCAAGTTCATGCAGTGGCAGTTCAACCTGAGCGTCGAGAGAATACCATTCACAATGCATACACAGGTCTTTCAGCCAACAAAAGGACAGGAAAGGACGGAAGCAAGGACGCAAGAAAGATGGGAGAGACCTCGGCCCGATCGATTGATAGCGGAGTTTAAAAATGAGCGCGAAACGATAAATGACATCTACCCGAGAGAAATAGCAGACAAATAAGCAAGAACATACTACATAAATTTGTATCGGTTATGAGCTGAACCAAATCATAGTCTGCTAGGAAATTCCCGTTCAGTTGTAGTGCTTTCGAGTTCGCTTTGTGAAAGTCAAGTGAAAGTTCATTTTTTTTCATAGAATGAGTCTTCATTCACCGCCCATCATCCAGCGACGATAAATTATAAGAGTCTGCGTCGTTGAACTCGAAACATCAATTGAACCAAAGTTGGCACGTGGAGGCTGTTCAACTTGAACACGCGCGTCAAACAATCATCAAAGTCAAAAATTCTACACGGCAATGTTGTGGGAGAGGTATTTGTCGACATTGGCTGTAACCCTTGGGTCCACCTTGCCTAATATGTCCACCAGTTCGTCCCTGTAATCAAAGAATTAATCCTGAATACATAACAATCTTTCAGAGGACCAGACGAACCAGAGGCGATCCTGTACCTTAGCGCCTTGTGCGCTGAGGACGTAATCGCTGACCTCTTGAACTTCACAACCAGATGAATATTCGCCCCGAAGTTTATCAGGCTGATCTGGATATGCCAGTGCCGCCCATACGAGGCGCCGGCTGCCCACCTCCGTCGTGAATGCGAGGGCCCGTTCCATGAGATAATCGAACACAATCATGAAACCTGTCAAGCCGCGCCGTAATTCAGAGTAACAATAGCCCGGATCGACAGCGTTGACGATGAGCGGCGTGGAGGGCGGGAGGCGCGCGTTCAGAGCGCGGACGAAGAAGACGTTGAGGACTGAAAAATTAATTAACAGCTGGACAGAACCGAGTATTGAACCCGTACGCTTGGTGAGTGGATATCTATCCCCCATGATCCTGGAGGTACATCAGTTGAGCTGCTTTAGGTATGCCAACGAGATGCTTACTTCTTCGTACAATATTCTGCGCTTCCAATCGTCTTGAGTATATCCGGATTCTCGGCCACGCGTTTGTCGATCTCAGACCAGTAGTGCATTCCGCTCGAAACGACTACGAGCCTGGGGACCGTGGAATGTTGTTGGGCCGTTTTGATCAGAGCCGGAAGGAGGAGGAAGGCCAAGAGCGGGGTGGACAGACAATTGACCTGAAGACTAGTACACTATATTAGTACTGCCACAATGGGGGAATGGAAGAGCTCACGAGGATTCCCACCCGTCCTTGGTAGCGTCGTAATCGAAAGTCGCGAGTGCCGCATTCTCGACGAGGATATCGAGACGGCCCCCATCGCGCTCGAATTTATCTGCAAATTGCTTGACAGATTCGAAATCGGCAAGGTCGATGATCCACAACTCCGCCTTCGCGTAGCCCGTGGCGGCTTTCAATCCTGGCACGGGAAATAAATAAGACGGTGGGGTTAAAATATATGCTACAACGCACTGTCCACTGCAACCTGTCCCTTGCTTTGGCTTCGACAGGCGAGGATGAGCCGTCCCGGATTCATCGTTGCAAAGTGTTTTATAGCCTCAAATCCGAGACCAGTGTTCGCTCCCAAAACGATGACCGTTTTCCCGGTAAGATCAGCCTTGACCACAGGCTTCTGCCTGCTCCATTGGCTCGCGATGAAATCCCAAATTCCAAGACGCATGATAGTTGAGCAGAGAACAGTTGTGAGAGAAAAACAGCGTAGTTGCCATTTTAAAGCAGGTGAAATCAAAGATACGGGAAGCCGCGCTGACGCGTCATGACGCGTGTTCTCGGCCAAAACGTGAGCGAGGACATATCGGTCAGCGCGCATTACGATAGCATGATCCATGATGAGAAAGAAGGTATGTATACCCCGGACAGCTAGGGTGGGAAGATAGACGTGCAGCCCAAAAAAAACAAGCTCGCACGTTCAGTGAGTTGTAAAAATTTGTGGTTCTCCGCACACAAGGAAGGAAGGAAGTGGATTTTGACAGATTGTTATGCTCTGAAAGCAACCCATGTTATTCTGCACACTGTATGCTGAACAAAAAGTGGTGTGTCCCAAAATTATAATATGAGGCCGTCGCAAGTACCCCAAGTAGGGAGACGCCAATAAACGCTGTGAGTAAAACGGAAGAGGAGATGCCTCCGTTTTCGTCTCGTACCCAAAGAGCCAGCAATTCCGATTTTCCAACAATGTGCTCACGTACCAGCGCCCCGCCTTCCCATCGCTCATGGGCGGCATGCGGGACATCGAATGCATTACACCGTCCTTGGAGCATAGAAAGAGGGAGCGAAGAAAAGAGGAAAGGAAAGGTCAAAAAAGATAACCGGAATAATACGCTCGAGGCATCAGTACCCTCAGAAACCCAGGCGAGATCGAATATGTCGAGTCAGGGATTGCAGACACCGGCCATGGGACAAGAATAAGGGCCGGGAGCTGGACAACACAACAAAAAACCTAGACGTCTGGCGATGCATCCAAGGGGTACGAGACCACAGTCTCCGAAGAAGCGGAAGAAAAAACACAAGAGAAAGTAGCGGCACACCTGTATGCTTCACCCGTGCCCATCCACCCACACCATCCGCCACTCCCATAGCATTCTCCCTGATAAAGTATGCATCCTCACCCACCTGCACCGCCAGCGGTACGTCCGTCGCCTCCGCATGCGTATGCAGCGCACGCACCCTGTGCCCGCGCTTCGGAATCCCATACGTGCCGACGTCGAGCGTATACCTCGGCCCACGACGGCGCTGTGCACGAGTACCGCTGGTTGCTGGCGCGGGATCCGGTTTCGGGGCGGGGCCGGGGGTGTAGGGGAAGAGGAGGGCGAGCTGTGCGGGGTGAGGGTGCTGGTTCGCTGGTGGGTGGGGTGCGGCGAGTGCGAGCGGGGCGTGCGGGTTGGCGTTGCCGTTAGCGCTGTTGGGACCCTCGACTTCGCCGCGGGCTTCGATGGGTAGCCTGTGTGTTGTAAGACGGGTATTTGGGGGTGGGGGTGGGGGTGTATCGAAGAAAGAGCCAAGCGGGAGTGTTGTTGGGTTTGTGTAGAGGGCGCGAGAGGCGGAGTTGGATCTGACACGACCGACGCGGGGCAGCGCAGTGTAGAATCGAGCGTGCTTCATTCGCAGTCCAGTCGCGGTCAAAGCGAGAAGTAACAAGCAAAAGAAAGATGCTTCCGGTTTATTCCGTCAATAAATCCAGACTGTGACTCATGTGTGACAATGACGTCCATCCCCGTTTGTTCCCGCGGCCTTAAGGCGGCGTTTATCGCGCTTATCAATCCCCTTCTCATCCCCGCCGTCCTACCCCGTCGCTGTTGTTTGTCAGGTCGGCCCGAAGCGCCCACTATGGAACCACGACACTGCATGAGCAAACTTGAGCTGATGATATATTTTTGAATCTGTATCTTTGACGGCCTCGTGGTACGCCACCGAGGCAGCGCTGTGGTAATGCTGTCGTCAGTACTTCAATTTCCATCCACTCGGTCCACTACCGATTCTTCCTCGACTTATCCCTGGTCCATCTCGGCGACAGCCGCCGCTGAACTACTGCACCCAGGCTTTGAAAGAAAATGCTGCACCCGCTTTCCAGAACACTCCACACTTTACTCAACCGAACCACTGCCGACGGCCTGGTAGTGTAGCGGTAACACGTCCTCTAGTATTACGCAAGTGGTTCTCCATTGTTCCGAGGAATCTCCTTGTTCGAATCGAGGCCAGGCCATTTTTATACTGTATTGAGCTTTTTCTTTCTTTGTTTTTTTCTTTGTTTTGACCAAGTTGTTCTCGACTCTTCAGTAAATCCCCGCATTCACGCGTCTTAATTGTTATTTTCCGTACACTAAGTAGTATAGCCTTTGTGGTTTTCGTTCAAACTATAGATGACGAAATGTCTGGTGTTTACCAGTCAACTCAGTTACTCTCTTGTGGTCTCATGGTGTAGCGGTAACACATCTTCAGTTGATAGCTGGCATATTGGTTTGTATTTGAGGAAGTCCCTTGTTCGAATCAAGGTGAGGCCATTCAGCTAGTGGATTTGTTTTTGCCAGTTATTCCCAGTTATTCCCAGTTCTTCGAATTCAAATCCCTGCATTCGCGTGCTCATTGATATTTCCTTGCAATCTACTTTTTGTTTAGATTCAAGTATATTATACTCTCGATAGCAAAATGACAACATTGCTACTATGATGATCTGAGATCCATCATAGCCTCATAGTGTAGCGGTAACATGTCCTCTACTATTTCTATTGGCGTAAATTTGTATAAAAGAGGAAGTTTCTTGTTCGAATCAAGGTGAGGCCATCTTTTCATCGTAAAATTGCTTTTTTTGGGGGGAGGGTAGGCTGAGTTTTCCTTTACTGTTCAGAATTTAGATCCCTGCATTGGTGTGTTCTTATTTGTATTTTCTTGCAATTTACGCAGGATGCAGGCTTTTGTGACTTTCGTTCAAACTAAAAGATGACAAAATGTCTGCTGTTTACCAGTTAACTCAGTTACTGTGTCATGGCCTCATGGTGTAGTGGTAACACATCTTCAGTTGATAGCTGGCTGTTCTATTTTATTTGAGGAAGTCCCTTGTTCGAATCAGGGTGAGGCCATCCGCTCGTAGTGAATTTTTTTTTGGAGGGAGGGTAGGCTGAGTTTTCCTTTACTGCTCAGAATTTAGATCCCTGCGTTGGCGTGTGTGTTCTCATTGGATTTTTACCTTGCAATTTACACTGGACTCGGATACAGGCTCAGCCTTTGTGATTTTCGTTCAAATTATAGATGACAAAATGAAGGTAGTTTCTCATCGTCAACTAATTTGAAGACTATCGTGGCCTTGTGGTGTAGTGGTAACACGTCCTCTGTGATTACTTCTGGAAATTCATACTTGAGGAAGTCCCTTGTTCAAATCAAGGTGAGGCCATTCTTGAGATGTTTGTTCAATTTTTTTTTTTGTGTTGTGGTTCAGAATCACGATGGCAAAATGGCAGTTACTTGTCAATGACTCTGAGATCTATCATGGTCTTGTGGTGTAGCGGTAACACGTCCTCAATTGATAGTCCACTATTAGTTTGATTTTGAGGAGGTCCCTTGTTTGAATCAAGGTGAGGCCATTGGCATGCCAGTTGAACTTTTTTTTGGAGGGCTAGGCTGAGTTATTCTCCAAATCTAAATCACGCATCCACGTTGTCATTGGATTTTTTTTTTCTTTTAGCATCATTCTTCTTAAAATAATCGTAGTCTGTAGTCGGCACTTTTGGTGCAAAACGAAGTCGTAAGTCGCAACTTCGGATCACCGTTTGATCTCAGGCCGCGACTTGCCGATCACCAAAAAGGGGAATGCCGCCCCTATCTGAACCTTCACGCACTGACTAGAGAACAAAAAAAATGTTGTTCCCTATCATATGATCCCTTTGGTACCACGGAACTGTTTTATAAACTATCTTGGAGCTGATATTGTCCGTCATATGGTCAGCGTTTGATAGCGAAATTTCAGTGGCTTGAAAAAAAGCAAAATGGTCGGTTTTTCAAACACCCTGAAAGAAATGAGACAGCTCACTCAATAATTGTATTCACTCTTTTACAACATTGAAATTAAACCGGGATTGGGAACAAGGACAGAGAGGACTAGCGTGCTCTTAGGAGTTGATGCATATGATTGATCTTCGGGGCTGAAACCATTGAAGAAAGCGCAGCTCAAGAACATTCAAAATCGCAAAACCACCATGCAACTGATGCTTGCTAACTACTAGTACTCTAGAAGACTGCATAACTGATCCCTAGTGCTCCATGTTTGGCGTCAAAGAAGGAAAATCTCATAAAATAATTATGCCACCAGGTGTATTCGAAAATCTGCATGCATGTCGGGAAAGTATCTTTCATACCACCATCCAATTACCTCACAGTACCTCAGTACAAACAGAATTAAGAAAGCGTGGGAATAGTACTCGCTCAGGCCGAGATCAATCTGACTTTGGACTTTGGACTTGGACTTTCAACTTCTAACTTGGGACTTGATGAAAAATACAGACCAACCGATAGAGTTTGCCGAAATCCGTTGAGACTGAATTCTTTGTGAAAATTAGTCTCATATTTTTACCTTGCAATTTACACTGGATTCGGATGCAGGCTCTAGAGTAGTCTTTGTGATTTTCATTCAGAATCACGATCGCGAAATGTCAGCTACTTGCCAGTGGGTGAGATCCATCATGGCCTCGTGGTGTAGTGGTTGACTTTCCATAAGCTTAGAAAATTCCAGGAGAATATCTGAGCGGTGCCAACGATGCCGGCAAGGTGATCTAGACCAATATTCTAATCGTTCGGGGTTCCCACAAGGAATAGACACTGTTAAATTAGATATTTCTTTGTTGATGGTCTAAACATCAAAACAATCAACGCGTCTCGCTTCTCCTTCTTTCTGACGTGTCCTCCCTTCGCCAACAATGGACCTTGACGCGTTGATTGTCAACCAAGAACTCGAAGAAATTGAAGAGGATGAAATTGATGATGAATAACACATGGCAGGAACTGCGATGGCAATAATGCTGCTTCAAGCTTGGCGCTATTGAGGCACATAGGCTGCACATGGAGCGGCGGAAACCGAGCCGATTGTGCCTGTGCCGTGCCCAATTGTCTCGAAATCCTCAGGGAGCCACTGCCTGGCAGATCCTTTACTGGAGTCGCAGTGACCGAGCCTACATCACCGTGTACAACAATGGGATTCGATGTCAATGAGGCGGAATCGGGGACACCGGCAGTTTGGTGACGGAAATCAAGGGCAAAGTGGGGAGGAATTGAGGGGGCGAATCGAGTAGTACCATCAAGAGTACCATCCTGGAGTTACCCGAGAGAGTGGTTGTTCGTGTGGACGATGTGGTGGGCGAATGGATGAAGAGTGACAAATGTAACATCCGTGACACACAACCCAAAGAGGCGACGTGGGAGAACGAGTAGCGACCGAATCCGTTTGAATCTGTTTAGTCGAGTGGAAAATATTCTGGAGGGGGGGTAGCGACCCCCCCTCCAGAATTTTATTTGTCAAGTTCTATTAGAGGGTCCAAAATAGCAAAAGTAAGATCTCAGCATGATGGGGTCCTGACAGCTGTCCCGGCATCTCGGCAAAACGACGAAATATATTCCTCTAGAATTTTCTAAGCTTATGGAAAGTCAACCAGTGGTAACACGCCCTCTGTTAATATCGCTAAAATCTTTGTCGGAGGAAGTCCCTTGTTTGAATCAAGGCTAGCCATTGAGATTCTTTTGTTCATATTTTTGGTGTTATGGTTCAGAATCACGATAGCGAAATGGTAAACTTGACAATGATTTTGAGGTCCATCGTGGCCTTATAGTGTAGTGGTAACGCGTCCTCCGATATTTCCGAAGTAATACTCTTCAGAGGAAATCCCTTGTTCGAATCAGGGTGAGGCCATTGACTTGATGGTTAAGGTTTTTTTTTTTTGGTGGTTATGCTAAGTACTTCACTCTTCAGAATCTAGATCCCTGCATTCGCGTGTGTTTTCATTGGGATTTTCCTTTGCAATCTATGATTTTTTTCAGCCAGAATCACACCAACTGTACTAGAGGATGAAATGTCCGCTGTTTGCCAGGATTACAACAAGACATCACGGCCTCGTGGTGTAGTTGTAACACGTCCCCTATTGATGAATCACCGAATTCGAGGGAAGTGCCTTGTTCGAATCATGGTGAGGCCATGGTCCATCCGTTAGGCTTTTTTTAATTTTTTTAATTGTTGACTATCCTCCTTCTTCACATCGGGCCGGGGTTGAGTTTCAAGGACGGCCTCGTCGTGCGGTAACAGGTCCTCTAATACTAATTACGACACAGGCAACTTCTTTATCAGGGAGGCCCTGGTTCAAATTAGGTGGGGCTCTAGATTGTGTCTGTTTCTTTTCTCTCGCTTCTCGGTTGCCCACCAGATCGTCAATAAAAGCGCAGGTTGAACGTGTCAATGGTGCGTTTCAAGTTGGATATTATTATTTTTTGCAACATGAAACACGTGATCTTGGTTCAATTCTTTGCCGTGGACTAGTACTCGATGAGGGTACAGCGCTCATCAAATAGGGGGCAGATTGTTATAAACCAGCACTTGATAGCACATTGTCAATCTTGAGATCCTCAGAGTTTCAGCCTGAGTGCGTGGTAACAAACCGACGGTGAACAAAACTGGCGATGAATAACGATTTTGAATCGAGCTCACCCTGGTTTCCAGGAATACCGTCATTCTACAATGTATAGTCTTGGTCGAGGACGGGCTAGGACGGCCCGGGTTGAAGGTTGGTACATTTTGGTTTATTCAGCATCCGAGAGCGATCACTGGCTGCGAGAGAGAAAAGCCAGCCCAGGCCCTCGCCATGGAAAATAGAAATAATGAACCTGTAACCGACCAAAGGAATTTGGGCAGTGCCCTTGATTCAAACAGGGAAGTCCGAGCCCGTAGAAAAAAAATATCCGAAATCCCAATTTGCGGACCTAATCAAGCACTGCAGCAAAGTGCATTTTATTGATCTAGGGGAGGTCAGAGAGAACTAGATCATCAATATAAGTGGCACTGGTAGCACCAATACTCCTAGGTGACTGGGTCCCCGGCGAATCATTATTGAGAGTATTATTGTAAGAGCATGATAAATTTTCTGGTGGCGAGTCGGTGCCGGCTGAAGAAGGAAAGAATAGACGTTCACCAAATCTGCACGCTCGTTGTTCAGATCAAGGTGAGGCCATCTCCAAGTAGTCAAATTATTTTTAAATATTTACTAAATGAGTCCTCTTCTTGTTCACAGCGAGCCGGGGTTAAACATGGTCCAAGAATTGGTATTGCATTGTCCGAGGTAGTAAGTTCCAAGCAAACTGATACATATGTGCGTCATGCATGCACTTGCTCCGGTCCCACCCTGATCGAGTCCAGGGCTATATTGATTTTCATCCCCAATCCTTCGCCGTCCACTTCAAACTGGGGCGTATTTGTGCTCTGGGCATGTATGCAGCGTTTCTTGTGACGGTTGAGGACGCCTTGGGTCGTAAAGGACATACCGCGGTGGGGGCGGTACTTGTTGTGCGAGTTGATATGGTCTGCAGGGAAGAATGATTAGAGAAGATAAGGAGAAAGAGGGAAAGGGGCTTGCGTACTCAGAAGATTGTGCCTCGCGGTGAAAGTACAGGAACAGGTCTCAAGTGGCACTGGAAGAGAGCAGTGGCTTTCATACGTCTCCCGTTGCTGGCCTGCCTGATCTTCTCCGAGCTGATCTGGGTCTTGGTAGGCTGAGACTCAACAGGGTCCGTTGCAAAAAACACCTTCGGCAACGATACCGCCGGAGTTGGTTCATTAGGTATTGTATGTCGAATATCTTCGCCAGCCTGCGCGTTCACGTAGTATATGAGTGCAAATAAATACTTAGTCGTGCCAAAATCGAGTCGGAGACGCACCTGGCTGTCGGTTGTTACTTCCGGCACCCAAAGATCTCCGGATTCAATGTCAAAAACGAAACCAGTTATGTCGTTGTTCAAAGCAGAGTCCGGCGTCAGATGGGCCTGGCGCTCAGAGCGATCGTCTCTAACAGACTCGTGGGCATTGATGGGCGAATTAACCTCGCGTGAAGCTACCACTGAATTACCGAAACTCATCGAGTCCTCCTCATCCGACTGGACCAAAGACCTGGGAGACGCAGGCTCAGAGACCGAAGACTGACGATCGCCGGTTAAAATTTCTTCCTCCAAGTGCGCTAGAAGAGTAGGTGAAGCATTGATACCTATTGAGTCGTCTTCATCCGAGTACACCGAGGATGTAGTCCCTGGCTCAGAGATCGAAGATCGATGATCACTATTAGGACTCGTTGAAATATCTTCCGTGGTTGTTTCCGAAGGTGTTGCATGATGATTACGGTACGGCAGAAAACTGCGTAACCACCCTGGAACCCATGCGCGGGCAGATAAAGGCTTGTTCGCCTGCACCTTTTTACGCGGACTCGAGGACCATCGGCGAGCACTGAAAAGTGCACTGCCGATCACTGTCCACCGAAAAGATACGGCCTCGGTGTAAACTATGGTGGGTTCAACGTCGAAGTCTTCAACCCATTCATCCAACTCATCGCCGAGGCTCCGCAAGCTGAAATCTGTATCCAGCAAAGTTGAATGTATGTACGCGGACAATCAAGTTCACCACTTACGATCAGGCTCGATGCGCATTTGGCATAACTCAGTAACGTTGTTTCTGCGTACGGATCGTCAACATTTCCAATCCCAGCGCCATTCCTGAGTCTGACGTACGCCATGGTCAAAAAATTCAACTTATCAGATGCAGGGTCTGGAATAATATTCCCAACATCGGAACCAGTAGCAAGCGCCGACGACGTAGGCAGAAGACTTTCAGCCCGGGGCCTGGAAAAAAGGTAAATCCCGAATTCAATAGGCGAAGTGTAAAGACATGCAGACGCAGTAATCGCACGATCTCAGTGAGACTGTGATACCAATATTGTGGTTCTGGGTCTGCCGTATGCCAGTCCAAGACGCCGACCAGTATCACGCCGGCCATAGAATCGATTCCTTCGTTATCAAAAACGATACCATTCCTGGCCTCGCTTTCATCCTCACCAGAATCCAGTCCGAGGTCATTCAGAAGGCACGTTACACGGTCCAAAATCTTGGCGAATACTGTGATATGTATTGCACCACTTTCTTGCCAGAAGGCGGGCAGTTCCAGAACTCTGACCAAATATCGAAGGGCAAGAGCATCGGAGATGGAACTCGCACTTTGTTGTATAAAATCAGAATGAATAACGATGATTCTGGAAGATAATAACATACCTGGATTCCGACGCAATCAATAGGCGCTCAATGACACTAAGATCGCCGCTCTCCGTGTCGATAGAGCCCAAAAATCGGGGCGAAATATCCCCGAGAATTAGGGAAATGTGCTGCTCAGAGAGACAGGCTGCCGCAAGTTGGCAGTAATAATTCCATTCGTGAGGCTGCGTGTCATCCACGCGGGCCCAAACCGCAGAGATCAGCGACTCCGTATTTCCAGCGCGTTTGAGGTGTTTGGATTTGAGGAAGAGCCCGCGCGTCCTGTGGTACCGTGTTGCAATCGTGACAAAACATTTAAATGTCGCGACCTGCGTCTGTGCCATTTCACATCTACGAATCTTCAATCCAACCAGGACTTTGATAGAAATAAATTTCACCCACGGTAACACATATTTGAGGAGCCTGGAACATTCCTCCTCTAACCATGGACAGCCGTCAACGCACAAAGCTTCAAGCTTGGCTTCTCGCTGCGATCCTGCGCCGAAGAACGCAGCGATGCGGTCGGCGGTCGTGGAAGGACCTCTGCCCCAGCAATGTGCGGCGCGGTTCACGTGCGTCCCCAAATAGTCGCCGACGTGCGAATAGACTGGGTTCAGCGTTCGTCCTGCTGCAGGATCACTTGACGAGCCACAGACAAGTTGCATCTGCAGCTCATGAGCCCGTTGGTCCAGGTGAATCAGAGCCATCGAGGTATTACATCAGCAAAATCACATTTTGCTCACGTACTTTTGATCTTGTGATGTCGCATAGCTCGCGTCCTGCGAAACTGGGTCTGCCGCCGAAAGAAGAAGCACAGAGAAAGCCAAGAGCCCAGAATAAGTAAGAGCATATATCTGCCAAAATATATGAATACAAATCGATTAGGAGTTGAACTACTATTTGAGACCCGTTACTTGGCCACCTTGATGTTTTCAGGCAGTGCACAACACGTGGGGTAGCAGTATTGAATCCGGGGGTGGTCTAGTACATGTGCATACATAGGAGGAGTAATTTGAGGGCTGGCCGGCGAATTTAGGTAGCCTATTGCCCGCGGCGTGAATTTATTTCGAAGGGATTCCAAAAATAGTAATATACTACCTAGTTGGCCACACCGGCCCAGTCCTCTTCATGGGTTGAATGAGGACTTCTGGTGAATTCAAACTGTTGAATTAGGTGCCAAACCATTATTCTAGATGGTTGTAATCATGATTTAGGCTATATAATTAGTGTCTATATATTGATTTTCAGCAGGGGGGCATAGGGAGAATAGACAATCTGGACAATTGAGGTGCTAGTTCACGACTAGCGGAGCATGTCACCCAAAATAAGTTGCGGAATGGTTTATAAGAATTATGTGAAGGTACTTGGATGCACTAGACATCCTACCAACATCCACGGGTCCTGGAAAAATTTCGACTTTGCGGAACACAGAAAACTGGCCTTTTGAGACAGACCACAGCAATGGGAAAGGACAGAGGGCTGCATAAAATTAACATACCTCTCAGGCTTAATACCCCTGTATCATGATTGTCTATCTCAAGTTTCAGAGTGGCCATGGCAATCCTCTGTTCGTTAGCGGCATGGCCATGTTGCACCCTCGATGTCAGAATTCACCCCTTCTTGACACCAGTACAGATAAGGGTGGAAGGAATGTATGAATTTTGTGGCACAGATTGAAGCCCCGAATGAGACGAGCAGAATGAGCCCCCAAACTCGTCGATCGGCCCAGAACTCGTGGAGAAAGAGAGCAAGCGGGTCTGTGGCGTTAAGAAACTGATCGCATCACCCTCCGGCACGACATCAAATACCACGCAGCATTTGATCCGACCATCAGTTAATCTCCAAATTGGGTATGGACCACCGTTAGGGGTCGCATTCCGTCCTGCGAGGCCCAACTTTGCACATCCTGGACCAG